TGGGAGAACCTTTCAAGTCCCTTATAGATACGTTTATAAATAGGGATATTTTTCTATCGACTCGGCTATTGATGCTGCTCAAGAATATATATATATATATATATATACATACATAATCCCCCTGTAACCCATTTTCAATAGGCCTTATGTTCAATGCAGATCAAGAATGTCTGTAGACTTGTGCTAGATATTGGCCCACTTCTGCCAGTTGCCTACAGGGCATGCTCAATAAAAAGTTAAATATCAAACAATAATTATTCACAACGGATCGGTTAATTGAGCCAATTTATGGCGCCCATTAGGCTCCCCAATTGGGTCTCACTCTGACTATGCTGCCATAAGTGTGCGGCAATTGTCGGCATTCTCATTTAACAATCCAAATATGCAAACACCGACCGCAGTCTCACCCACTGCTGCCCACTTGGCCTTGAAATCGAACACTATCCAACAACAACAACAACAACAACAACTTGGGGCAACTACTGCTGAGCTGCTGCCCCTAAAATGGGTATCATAAGCGAAATGCAAACTGTTCCCAAATGAAATGCGTATACGCGATTTGCACCTCCCCCGCCCCTCGTACTCTTGTTGCACCCCCCCTCAGAGTCAACTGTAGTCCTAGTCGATTGTAGAAATTGTGCTCAACTAGCCCAAGTTTGGTTGACAATTGCGTTTCACACTTTGCATAATAATCAGGCGTGCCGGCAAACAGAAATCTCAACTCTTTGGACTTTTATTTATATACTATGTTCTTACAGTGCGTATGAGCGATATACAGTGAGTGCCGTATGTCTACGCACGGCTGCCAGTTTAACAATTGAGTTGACACTGCTCGACTGGCAAATACCCTTGGATAGCATTCCGGGACAGCTAGGGGGAATGTCCAGCTGGTGGATATTGGCAATGCCAGACAGTGGGCATTGTATATATACGCACACGCTCAATAGTATCAGAGTTAATGGCAATGGGCATAATAGGGCAAGTCCCTCGTAAGCACCTACATAACATATATATATTATATAGCTAGTGTTCAGACTTGGATATATCGTATATCGTATATTGTGTATCGTATTATATCGTATAAGGTATACATGTTATAACATATACGAAGTATCGATAATTTATTGTTTTTCTGCCTGTTGCATGCTTTGTCCAAACTTTATGCTACCCATTTGCCGCCTCACTTTGGCTTACAGGGTATTACAAGCTGTCACGGCGTGCAGTTATTGGAAGAAGAGCTAGGCGATGTTTGATGCCGAACTGCCAACTGGGCTGAAAAAAAAAAGAGAGAACAGAAAATGAAAATAATATTTATGCGGAATTCTGTTCCACGAATCGAATCGTACAGAGCGAGCGGTGAAATGAATCATGTTGTGAATGCGAATGAATATTTCGAAATCGATTCGAATGAAATGTCTAAAACACACCTCCGCATAGATACACACACACACACACGATAATATACATAAGTAGTATGTGTTATGTATACTGCATATATCGGGGCACGAACATTGCATTTGATTACAAATTGCAATTGTAATTAGATTTGGAATTGTTGTAATTGGCATTCGTTGTTTTTATTCCCGTTGTTGTTGTTGTTGTTGTTGTGGTTACGATTCGAGTTACAACAAAAATGCGACATTAATTGCGAAATGCTCGCGATGTTTTCATGTCGCGTCTCAATTTACCACCACCTCCCTACCCGCCCACAACAGCCCCGACCCCACCCTGCTGCGACTCTGCGAACCCGTAACAGGCAACTGATAAATTGCCAGTGCACGACAAAGAACAACAACAACAACAACAACAAAAGCAAACACACTGAAAAGTCGTGAAAGTTACGAAACTGCAAAATGATAAGGAATGAAAACTGAGCACGTGCGGGAAGAGAGTGGGTGTGGGTTAGGGAGTGGGGAAGAGGGCTTGTGGGCGTGTGGGAAGAACCGAAACATCGCATGCATTTAGCCGATTGAATCACAAAATCGAGAACTGACCTTAAAATGAATAATGCCTGTGAAATGTCAAATAAGCAGCGCAAAGGCAACAACCACGAATGAAACAACGCAAAAACATAGAACACAATTCATTGTGAAAAGACGCAAATCTCTAGAAACAGAAAACACTTTATAATAAGCAAAAAGTATCGTTAAAACATAGAAACATAGAAAACATAGAATAAATAAATATAGAAAACTACAAGCAAAAACATAGAACGTCGCTAAATATGTTTGCACAGAATGTCTCAAGAGTAGCTGACCTTAAAACATAGACAAAGAAAATCACAGAATGCACTGGCCTACATTTAGAGTATATGCACGAAATCTCTCTGAGCGAATTAAACATAGAATGCAGTTGATTTACATCTTGGAACATATAAAACATAGAACCAGAAAAAACATAGACTATTTGCAAGTATAACATAGAATAACATAGAAATCAATCGTTTTATAGAAAATGAAAATCTTAAGGCCTAGATAACATAGAGCCGGGAAAACCATTGAAAGTAAATATAAAATATGGCACATCTAGGAACATATAAAACATAGAACCAGAAAAAACATAGACTTTTTTCAATTAGAACATAGTAGATAGTAAACTTCAATAGTTTCTTGGGCAGGCAAATATAAAATATGGAGAGTCTTAGAACATATAAATTATGGAGCCAGGAAATACATAGAATATACATATTTTCAGCCCTAGCATAGAAAAACATAGAAAGTAATTGATATTATTTCTTGGTCATGCAAAAAAGATGGTGAATCATGATATGGGCAAAGCAGCTGCAAAAATTCCTTATCAAGGAAAACATGGAATTTCATGATAACATAGTTATGTTTCTCATAATAATATTGGATTCAAACGAAAATCGAAATGCAAAAAGCACAAGATGGAAATTATTGTGCCCTTTTATAGCCAATTATTATCATACATATATGCATTTTAATCCTTCTCTGAACCGTTTAACGATTTGATTAAAATTCGACGTTTCTAATCGAAAAACTGTGACACAATTCGTATTGCAATAAGAACTTTGTATTGTAGGAAACGAACTCGTTTTGCCAGTGAATATTATTCGAATGCTATTCGCATTTATTCACAATTACGAGTATGCATTTCGATTTATTGCTTATGAATGGGCCTTAACGATAAGCGGAAGCAAGACCGCAAAAAAATCTACGAGCGACATTTGGACAGCTCGTGACGAAACATATGTGTGTGTGTGTGTGTGTGTGTGTGTGTGTGTGTCGTATAAATAAATTAAAAATTCAGTGAAGCATAACGACGCAAAATGAAACCCACTTCGGTCTTGGCCTTAGAGATGACGCGACTCGACCCAGCGCTCCATCATATTTTATTTATTTTTTTCTTTTTGCTGGGGTTTCTATTCAATTTCTTTTGATGTCAAAACATGGCAAGAAGCAGAGATGAGAGATGGAACAAAAAAAAAAAAAAAAAAACAGTAGCAAATGTTTATAATTGCTTATCACTAGAAATTGTTGTTGTGCGCGAGTGTGTGTGTGCGAGTGTGTGTGCGTGTGTGTTTGTGGTATTATAAGTAGGGCAAACTCTGAGTGCTGACACATGCCTAACTCGAGCGAGTGGACTTCCTTTTGGGTGATTCAAATGATGTCCATGCCCATAAAAAAAAAAAAGAAGAAGAGGCAACAAAAACGTAAATAAATAAAAATGAAACATTTTTTCATATATTTTTGTATAAATTTTCAAGAAAATGAAATGGATACCTCACACACATCACACACACACGCACAAGCAAAATTATTGTTAAAAGTTCGTAAAGCCGAACATAAAATATGAAAAACAATCATATTATAATGCCACACAACGAATTTTAAATGCCCTTCAAGCATTACAATCTGAGTTTCAGACTTTTGGGATATTATATTATAAAAGTAAGAAGTTTCTTGTAAAGCTTTATCTAAAACGATTTATTTGTCACATTGCCTTCAACTTGTCAAAGTTTAGCATTTAAATGTACTGGCTGTTAAATTTTGACATGAACATGCTAAAGTGCTTGTTAGCTTCAAAAGAGAACAAAATTTGGCAAGCACCGAAGCTCACTTTAAAAGTTTGCAAAACACTTCCCAAGAAATTCCACACGCAAGCGTGGAAAATTCGTGGAATTTGTTTGCTTAACGAACTAAACATTTTTGTAAAAATGCAACGTTCGTTAGTGGGAAATGCGAATCAAAGCCTTTCATTGATATGATTTTATGAGAAAACAAATATATGTATTTGCGTTAAAGTTAAAAAGATCTGAGTTTCTAATGTGATATACACAAGAGTTGGGTTTAATAAAATGTAAGCTCTTTGCAATGAACTTAAGTGCCTGGCAAACTGCCTGACAAAGTTGTTAAGCCCAACCAATGCCAACACAGTGAGAGAGGGGCGGGAGGCGGATTGCCAGTTGGAAACCACCTTAAATCCAACCGCCCGATGGACGAGTGCTTGACAGGCGTTCGACTTGGGGCGGGCAGTTGGCAGGTGTTGCCGCACCGGGCTGGGAATCTATAAAAGCGTGTTGCATGGTGCGTCACATAATACGGTGCGACAGAGCCCCGGCCCAACATTGTTTCGGCTTGCCGTTTTTATTAGTAATAACATTTTGAAAGCCTCAACATGCTCGTTAAATTAAAATGCATGCTTTGAGTGCTGCGAGTGGTCGGATATGCGATATGCGATACCTAAGCCCGGCACACAGCCCACACACACTCGGATCCCAACCGATTCCAAACGACCGCAGGGGGCGGTGGGGGGGCGTAAATGCTGGGAGTGGGACAAATGATACCGACACATTGGTGCGAGTATTAAATATCGAATTCAATAAAACTGATTGACACATGTCGCGAGTGCTGAGTGTTGCGCGTCAGTTCCGTCAATTGAGTTGCAAGTGGCAAGCAAGTGTTGCTGTTGTTGTTGGTCTTCTTTTTGGTAGCATCATAAAAATATTGTCCCGCATACCAATCATGATAACTTTACAGCATGTCGCAGGAGCTAACGAGCACAGCTATGACCAGCATTGCCATGGAGGACACCTCCAAAGTGGAGGTCATTGTGTACACCAAGTCGGACAAGACGCTCAAACAGAACATGAATGCCAAGGACGAGACGCTGCGTAAGCGCACCTCGTTAATTATAGTGCCACAGCAGGTGGACGACATGCTGGACACCGCCGTGTCACAGCAGCAGCAGCAGCAGCAGGAGCAGCAGCAGAAGGAGACGAAGACGGAGCCGGAGAACGGCAATCGCAATTCGATAGCCAGCATGGATAGCTGCGTCTCGACCAACACCAGCCAGAGCAATCAGTCGAGCGCCAGCTCCAGCAGCAGCAGCAGCAGCTCCAGCAGCTCTGAGGATGCACATGCCGCCTATCAGGATCTACAGAATGGCAATGCTGGCGAAGATCTGGCTGTTATGCACTCGCCCAGCTGCTCCAGCACATCGGAGTCGACATCCTGCTGCAGCTCGGTGGACTATTCGCTGCGTGAGCAGCTACAGAATTTTGCCAATCGCTCGGATGAGGAGCAACTCAAGTGTCTCAACGATCTGCCAACTGCTGCACAGCTGCTCAAGGGCATTGGCCTGCCGGTGGACCAAAGGACCAACAGTGTATCCGCACACTGTGATGCCCTGCTCAGTCCACAGGAGGCGCCGCTGGGCCGGCGTTATGCCGAGGTGGCGCAGTTCAAGGCGCACGGCAAGGCGAGGTGAGTCCAGCGAGCGGCAGCTGTTCAAAGGAATCTGTCAAATTTCGCAAGATGTTTTCTTATTATTAAACTTTAAAAGGTATCTGCTAGTCGTTGAGTCGTCGCCAGCTTCGCCTTTAATTTGTTTATTTACCGAAAACGATATTCATTAAAAGTTTTCCCCTTTGGAAAGCTGCTTCGTCAAATTCCTGAGAGAACACTTTCAGTGAATTATGTTTTTAATAAATCAAATTCAAACTCGCCTGAGCTTTACCTTTTTTAATTAATTTCTTGCTCCAATTTCTGTTACATCAAATAAGAACAACCCTCGTGAAGTCTCGTCTTGTGCTGTTCTCCACTTTTAAGCAAATATTTTTGATATTTTACCTTGTCTATGTTTTCATCTATTTATATTTTATATAGGTTTACTATTATTATTTTAGTATATTTTTGGTTTCTGAAGCTTTTTGCCTATTTCAAATTCCTTTCATTTAAATGAGGTTAATTAAACTAAAGGCTGATAGTCTAAATTGACTTCTTTCGACGTTTGTGTTTAAAGTTTTAATTTTTTGTATATTGCGCTGGAAACATTCGGTACATTCTGAACTCTATAAAGCCAAAGTGATAGGTTCCAAGGTGAATTTTAGTTGTTGCTGTCCCTCTTGTGCCTTGGCATAATACACTCATTGCTTGGCTTTTCTAGTCCACAAAATATCTGCCGAAGGTTCTCATTGCTTGGCGAGCAATCTTCGGCGACCTCAATGGAGAGCTGGTTAGTCTGTTGATCTAGACATCAATGTCCTTAGCAAGCTCTACTTAGTTCCTGTCTTCCTTCCATTTCATATTATAAGTCTAGCCTGCTGCCGTGTGCCTTACCTGTAGCTCATTAGTGAGTCCTTTCGATTTGTCGCCCTCTGACAACTACCTAGCACTTAGTTTCACAGTTCCTTGGCTCAGTCTAATAGCTTGCTATCTTTTAAATCAGTCTGCGCTGTGGTTTATATCCCAGCCAGGTCCTACACTCCAGCCTGTGTCCTCTGTCTCTCTCTCTCTCATTCGTCTCCCTCTCTCGCTCGGGCCTCGAGCACTTTGCTGCCAACGCACTGCATTGTTTCCAATACACTCGACGCGCTTGAACTAAACGATGTCAAATGCTCACTCAACTTGAGCACTGCCAGCCACAAGCAGCGGCCCTTTTAAATAACTACACACACCAACACACACACACACACACACACACACACACACACACACTTGGCACGACCACATGCCGCCCTGCCTCTCGCGCTGCGACCTGCTAGCTGGCTCCTTCGTCTTGCTGCACATGCATAATACACAACTTAATTAGTATTTCTACTTTATAGCACTCTCGAGGCAGCAGCTGTTGGGCGACACAACTCTTCTTCTGGTTCTTCTTCTACTTCTTCTGGTTGTGTTAACCCTTCTTGTGAAAGGACTGGGGCCACACTAAGCCCGAAATCTAATAATGGCACATTCCATACACGCATTGCCATTGCCACATTACCATATCAAAAACGACTACGGCTTGTGCATGCCCCACAGGCACAGACTGTGCCCAGACTCCAATGTATTCCCCCTCCCCCAGCCCGCCCAGGCATAGCTCAAAAATGCAACGAGCTTGTAGATATGTATATACTTATATACGTGTATATATATGCGTGGAGTGTGTTGTTTATGAACTTTGAACATTTGTGTGCTCGCATTCTGTCAAAGCTCGCTCGATAGCAAGCGCTGCAGGAGCGGCAGGATCTGCAGGAGGAGTCCTGTCAATGCAAGGGTACTCTATGGATTAGTGCGGCACTCGAGCTGCCACGTTCCATGGGCCCTGCTACACCTTTTTGCAGCGTTCCAGCCTGGCCATTGACAACTATGTTAAACTTTTTGAAAGCTGTCACAACTAATTTGCATAGAACCCGCCATCCAACCCACCCCCCCCCCCCCCCCCCCCCCCATGTCCCCCTCAATCGAGGCTTTGTTGTTGCTACTCTGGCAGACCCGCATAACTTCTCTAAAAACTCTCAGATATCTGCCCAGCCCCCGCACATATTGTTCCATATTTGTTTTTGCTCCTGTGCTTTTGGGCTTTGATTTGCGCCCAAACTCCACTATTTTGGTTTTCTCTTTGTTTTTTGGCCAGCAAATATTCATGGCATAGAAAAAAGTTTTTTGCCACATGACTTTTTTTTTGTTTGCAGCAAGTCTGATTGGCTTGGCCGCATGCCGCATGCCGCATGCCGCATGAGTGTGAGAGTTTCGAGTTCTGTTCGACAAATCCCGGAGATGCCATTTAAGCCATAACACGCATTAACTTGTGCATGTACCATAACTATGCATTAACCGAAAAGAGTGAGAAAATTGCTCGACTAGCAGCTACCCTGTGCCCAGCTATATGCGGAAGTGCTCAAGTGACCATGAAGCCAGAAATTTAGCATTTGAAGTCTGATAAGGAATATATATGTATATCATAGTATATACCTTAGGCATGTGTTATATAATGTCCGTCTGCTTACAGAGCCTGCTCAGCATTTAACATTGAATCTCGTGTTTATATGTATTCCGTCTCTCATTTATCATTTGCACAGTGCCCAAATGTCTAGACTCTCGAGGCACTTGTACTCCATCTATCTCAGCCATATAATCTGCTTGCATTCTATTCGCTTGTCGCTGGGCTAACTTGACCCAGGCACTGGCCCCAATTGCCCTAGTCCCAGCTCTACGGAAGTTGCCTCGATTCGCGCACACCTTCAACCACTCGCACATTTGCCACATTTTATCTTAATTGCCATGCGTTGGCAATTTACATGCGGCGCCATAAAGTATTCTCCGCTCTTGGCAAACAGTTGCCACGCAAGATTCTTCAACTTTGTATACCCTGTAATCACATGTTGGTTTATTGTTTGGCTTTTCCGATGCAGCCTTTTTGTCTATGTGCGAGCCCCCTTCTTTGGGCACAGATCTTTTCTAGTTTGTCAACCACATGAATCTCCATTGTCATTGTAATTGTTCACTTGAATCCAATTTTATTTGAGCAAAAACTTACCCAATTATATATACTGGCTAAGTATAGGGTATCTGCGAGTCGTGCAGTCTAATGCGCCACGTTTTTCCCCATTGTTTACTCGCATATTTTATTAGGCTTTCAAAACTGCCTCGCAATTTATGCCTGCTTCAGTTTCTGATGTTGTATCTTATGGGCTTTTTTGTTCTTTTTTCTTTTTTCTATACCCTTCTTTAGGCTATTAGGAAAATTCAAAATTAGATATATTTATATCTGAGTCTAGGCTTTATTAAGAGTGGCTGAAATGCTGAGCTGCTGCATAAAATATCGTTTGCCTTTCTTAAGTTAACTCTGATGCACACTATTTTAGATTCTTCCCTTCTATTCGGAATCAGTATATTAATATATAATATAATAATATAATATATATATTTATATATTAATATAATATATAATGTATATATTTATATAAGGTTGACTGACTGTTTGATTTGCGCATGCGCCATGAAGGAGTTTTGAAAGAGGCTTCCACTTGCAAGTGTGAAAAATTGGTGGAAGGGGCTTTTCTAACTTGGCTTGTGATCAGATGCGACTCAAGCTCATTTCAAAATATTTCAAAAATATATGGCATCAAAAGTAACATTAATCTATATTATATGCAGGTGATCTTTCGCAAAGCCTGGCTCCATGCGCTATTTATTTGCATAATCTTATATTAGGGTATATATATAAGAGTATTTAAATTTCGTGCATACTCTGCTAACATGTTTTTTTTTTGTTTTTTTCTTTTTCTGTTGTGTCCTTGGGCCTGCATACATTTACTTCGACCCGACTAATTCCTCTAAGTGTTTTATTATCCGTTGCGTGCTGTTGTTGTTGTTGCTCGTGTTGGTGCTTGTTTGTGTTAATTTGACATGATTATGTCAGAATGTTTGACAACTTGTCATATGGCGCAAAAATGCGTTGGCACATGAGCATGGCTCGGCAATTTTCTTGCCAGCTGTGACGCCCACCCGGCGAAGACGTCCTGCGTCTAGTCGTCCCTTTGGCTGCGTCATTGGGCGCGTCCTTGAAGCGGGGCGTTCCGCAAACGGAAGCGGAAGCACATGCCAGGCCAAAGTTTCACTTGCCATTCGTTTTATTCTTTTTCTTTCCATTTTATGTTCTTTCTTTTGCGGCATTCTTGTGGCAAATTCATTAATAACATTTTGTCGCCCCTTGCCGGCCCTTGGCAGTGTCTAGAAATATTGTTAAAATGGCGTAAAATTGCCAGCTTTTTGGGCGTCAGTTTGTGGCACGCATCCTGCCAGACACTTTGGCGGCACACAGCAAGTAAATAAATAAAGAGAGCAAAAAAAAAAAAAAATAGAAGGAGGACCGAAAAAAATGTGTCGCAAATTAACCTTTTGACAGCTGAGCCTCGAGACGGCAAGCGTTGACAAATGGCATGGGACGCGTCTCGGCTGCAAGGACCAAATGAAGTGTGCGCCCAAAAAAAATATATTTAAGGCACTTACCAATTTCCTTACCCACTTTTTCATCTCTTTTATTGCAGAACAAGTGAACAGCTGACGCCTGCTGCTGCTGGCGCTGGCGCTGCAGTTGGCGCTGCCACGCCCCAAGCAGAGAAAACGGAGGCCCCAGTCAAGAGCAACAACAACAACAATAACAACAAGAACAACAACAATGGCAGCGGCAACAATGCGCAACAGTCACAAAAATCTCAGCAGCAATCGAACAACAGCAACAACAACAACAAATTGAATGGCCAATCAAATCTTAGCCCAAACAACAACAACAACAATAACAACAACAGCATGACGCCCAGCAGCCAAGTGGATGCCAAACACGGCGACTGTCGACGCAGCAGCAGCCTGGAACCGGACGCCGAAGATGTTGTCGATCTGGCACATGGCGGCGCCTTCGAGGACGACACACAGGCTCTGCTGCCCAAATGCACGCGCCGCTCGAGAGATGAGCTCAGTCAGGTGAGTCGAGAGCCAAATTATCACCTTCAACTGGTACAGACATATAGCCCAAAAGAGCTGAAAGCCTGATATCCATACTTGCCGTAAAATAAAACAGTCCAATATGAAAGGATCTCACAGATAAGTTTGGGAGCATAGTAAAGCAAAGATATCTTGAAAACCAAAATAAGTTTTCACTACAAAAACTTATGTTTGAACGATTCTTCCTTGAGAGCTTTATCATATAGTAATCAGATCTTGTGAGGAGCTTCAGATCTTCTGTAAATATCTAGTTCGATTTGGATACCTTAAAGAGTTCCCAAAAAATAAGCAACTTCCTTTTTTAATGATTCTCCCTAGAGGGCTATTGATTGATGAGATTTTGCTTATATATGGGAAGCATAGTCAATCTTGCAAATGGCAAATCCAACAGACCTGGCCAAAGTTAGATGAAGATAGATGATGAGCAAGCCAAGAGACTAGTTGGAATATATATATATATATATATATCAGCTTGCCTCTTAATACTGATCAAGAATATATATTTATGGGGTCGCAAAAGCTGGATATGCTACAAATAGGAATGCTCTAATCGGAACTGTGTCCGTCTAAGAGATGCCCCAAGTCCAGCACGAAGCTTTACGATTGAAGGGTATACAAATCGACATTACTTTACAAATTATACATAATTTGTTATGCATAGTTGAAACTAAAGAATTGTTTTTCTAACATGCTAAGCCTTACGGTGCCAGTGCCCAGCTTTGGTATTATATGATTGGAAATCACTTGGCGATTGTGCCACAGAGGGGAGGCAAGAGTGTGGGGCAATTGTGTGTGGGCAACTGTTGAGCATATTGATGAGCTGAGTTTTGTATTTGTCGCACTATTCATATGGGCTTTCCCCGGCCCAGTTGGCAGCCTTTGTGGTGGCCGTCAGTCTGTGCCACAGTAAGTGGCAATTACGCAAGCTGCCAATGGGCCATCAGCAGCGGCAGCCAGCGCCAGTTGCCACTCCATTCGTCCTTTTGTCCTTTTGTCCTGTTGTATGTGGCACTCATTCATTCATAATTTGCTACGTGTTGCCATGCCAGCCATAATAATCATAATGCTGCTGCTGCCTGCCGTTGGTCCTGCCATAAACTGTGCATCAAATGATGCCCATTTCGAGAGAAATAAAAATTACAATACACGTTCGCTGGTCTCACGTGATTCCCTTTGACATGTTTGAGACCCAACACCCGATGCTCCGTCTCGAATACCCTTACCCCATTATGGCTTCATTATTTACATGCATTCGTGCGTGCTGTGTGCTGTTTTTCATTAATAATCCTGCGAATCCTTTTACCATCAACAACAGCATCATCATCATCAGCGTCATCATTAAAAGCGGCGCCTCTTTCCTAATGCCTGACAGGAAATTACAGCCAAGGCGCCGCCTAATATGAATAATGAAGCACTCTACGCTCCACACAAAACTCTTTTTGACAAGTCAATTTACTAGTTAATTTGATATGCCAGCCCCGCCCACGCCCAGACCAGACCGAACCGAAGCGTTTCACCTTCCACAATCCAGAGCTTGCTCATGCGTTAAGCATGCAGCTGCATGCTGTCTATTATTGCTTAATAATGCGTTAGATTGCAAGCATATTGAAGCTGAGGGCGTTGTTGCCAAACTTCTGCAACTATTCGCACGTTGCAAGGTTGCCAGACTGCAGAAAGCAACTACTTAAACAGCTGGTTAATCTACTGGCTTAGGCGCTGCTTTACAGATTGCATAGTTGCCAAACTTCTAACACTTTCCAATGTTAACAAACATGCTTAATTGCAAGCATATTGAAGTCAAAGCGTTATTGCCAAACTTCTTCAATTATGAGCATTGTTGTTCTACTTTGCATTCGTAATATCATGTAATTAATAGATTAATTTTATGTGTACTTTGATGTGTTGTTGGCAATCTTCATACAGTACCTAAAGCGCAACGTTGCCAAACTTCATGCACTGTAAACTAAGCAATATATATTTAATATAAGAGCTCATCAAATATTTGGCAAACTAAGTGCTGCGTTGGCAAACTAAGTGCTGCGTTGCCAAACTTCAAGCGCTGCAAAGTAGGCAATAAAAGGTCGTCGTTCAGACAAATTTGCAATTAAATTAGATTTGTCATCCACTAAAAAGAGATCTACACATACAAAACTTGAACTTTCCTTATTGAGCGCTATTGTCAGAGTTCATACAGTACCTATAGAGTACCTATGTCAGGCGCTGCACAGTAAACATTACGCAACTTATATTAAAAATGTCTTAGAAGAAGTTGCGGCCTTGTTGCCAAACTTCTCAGACTGCATTTGCTGCGATGCCAAACTTCCAACGCTACAAAGTAGGCAATATATTTGCCCTCTAGTGCATATTGCAAGTAATTTAGCTCTGTCAATTTTATCTCTGTGCTCGCTCGAGTGCCGTTGGCCAGGTTCAAAGTCAAAAACCAAATGAGAACTTACACGCTATTAAGTTTCTATATACTGCATATATATATATATATGCATGTAGTCGAGCTGGGCAACCACAAACGTGTGGACTGTCTGGACCGCTTTGAATACAAACCGAAGGCAGACACATGTTCACATTTTAATTTGTGTTGCATTTCCTGTTGCATTTGGCAAACGGCAACACACACAAAGAGAAAGAGAGGGAGAGAGAGAGAGAGGACCAAGGACAAACATCTTCGTTGTCTCGACTGCCGCATAAAATATTGATTTCAATGGGCTTCAGTTGACCAGTCGGGAGACAGGAGAAGCAACAGCAGCTGTGGCAGCTCTAACCATGCCACAAGCGGCCAGCCAGCCAACAATTTTAGCTCTGCGTTTTTCGGCCATTTATGAATATTCAATAAAAACAACAACATCAACGACAACAGCAACAAGCGTTGCCGATAAAACTGTCTGCTGCGCGTTGCCATAACCACAGACAGCTTCAGTGCAACAACAACAACAACAACAACTTGCAACACATGAGCCGCTTGCCGCTGCTGCTGATGCTGCTGCTGATGCTGCTGCTGCTGCTGCACGTTGTGTCTGCCTGTGGAAAGTTTTTATCGCCAGCCTGTGGCACTTGGAGGCTGTTGGGGAGGGCTGCTCAACTTTATTACTTTCATTATGCTTCAACCCTGCTGCTGGCATGTTGCCCATGCCCCCCGACCTGCCCACCCAGCTAACCCCTCCAGGCAAAGTCCATAAACAAGTTTCGAGTCTAATCTGCAGCTGCGGGCCATGTCCAGGTGCACGTGTACTAATTGCAGCGGTATTAGTGGCGCTTTGTCAGGCGGCTTACAGCCACGCCCCTGCCACAAAAGGCGCCCCATTTGGTCAGCTTTATGTTGAGCTTGTCATGTCAGTCGTTGTCCTGGCTTTGACTGTGACTCCTGGCATTCCTTTCTCTGGCTGGTTTTTTTTTTTTACCTTTTTTTTTTGCTGTTGTCCAGGCAACATGTTTACTGATGCCAGCCGCAGGATATGAAAGCCAGCAGCAGACAGGCAGAGGCAGGACTGCAGCCAGCTTTGACGCAGCTTTAAAGCAGCCTCTAATGAAGTGCGGCCCACCCAAAAAAAAAAAAAAAAACAAAAACAGAAAAGAAAAGGGAAGCAAAGCAAATCGTTTCATATTTGGTTTTTCGGTACAACTCCGGCCCAACTCCCAATTCGATGCACGCGTCTGGCCAGCTGGAAGTTTGTCACTCCATTTGATGCGATGTGCTGTGGCCTTGTGGTGGCTCGCACAGCCCGGGTGTCATGTGGCAGACTACTCGACTGCTTGATTCCTTGACTGCCTGATGCGCCTAATGGCACTGACTTTTTGACAGCCACTCTCGGCCAAGTTTCCTGTGTCGAGAGTCGCCCATGTCCGGTTTCTTGTGTCCTTTTCGCACCTACCCTTACACTTGACGGTCGCTGCAAAAACATTTGTCGTCTGTGTCTCGCCGTTGGCCACTTTTATGGCCATAGATTTTATGTGCAGCTTATTACTTGGCTTCAATGTTGATTGTATTTGACTTTGGCTAAGGGCTAAATCTTCTTATTGCCGAATTACGAATAGTTTTTGTGCTTTTACATGCCTATTTCAATTGTAGACGCTCTTGTTAAAGTTTTCCAGCATCTGCTGTTGCCAAATTTCCATATTCTTCTACTCTAGTCAGCTGTTGCCAAATTTCACGCAGCGACGTTGCCATGTTTCATTTGACATCTCTTTTTATTATGTTTCCATATTATATTTCACACAATTTGCTCTTCTTTAAATACATATAAAAAACGACAGGTGCATATAAACTCTACACTGTTGCCTAACTTCGTGTGGCAATGTTGCCAAACTTCAGCACAACGCTATTTGTTATGCCTAAAATTCGGTTCCAACTACGTACGCTTCAGTATTTTGTCTTTTTATAAAATCATATTAATACATTTTATCTTTATCTGTCTTGTGCAAGCGGCAGCGTAATTTTATTTACTAAACTAAAAATCAAATGTTTTTGCACATTTTTCGCTGTTGACAAATGTTATGAAGCAGCATTGCCAAACTTCACAAAGACGCTCTTTAATGTGCTTCCCCCATTTTGAACAGTTGCCCAACTGCAGACCGCAGCGTTGCCAGACTTCACTAAAACGCCGTTAATTATGCATTCATAGTGCGGCTGTCCAACAAATCGACAACATGTCAACATCGCGCTTCAATTAGCCAGAGCCAGCATCGCATTTAGGCTGCTCTCTGACACACACACATACACAGACAAATCCACTGTCAGACATGGAACAGGACATTGGCGGTCCTTCTGCCTGCTTTGATCCGTTGACAAGACTAAACACGCAGACAGGACCCAATGGCAAAGGCAACGGGCACAGGCACAAGCACATATGTCACCCAGCTAGCAAATGTTGCACTGTCTGTTCCCAAGGCTCAAATGCTGCTGATGTTGCTGCTGATGTTGATGTTGTTGTTGCTGCTGTTGCTGTTATTATTGTTGCTGCTGCTGC